CACGTGATTTCTTCAGGAAGATAAAATCGACTGAGTACTTGATACATATAGAGCAGAGGAGACCTGATGTGCGATGGCTGCTGCCAGGAGGCCGCCATTGTCGGCTACTGCGACGCCAAATACGTATGGGCAGCCACAGCCGGGGGCGTCTTCCAGAGCATTACGCCAGTAGAAATAGATATGATTGTAGGAAAAGACCGGGAAGGTTTCTTTACCAGTGGTTTGACTCTTGGCGCAAAGAAGTGCTCAGTGATCAGAGATAGCCTATACGTGGATGGTGACTGCACAATGGACATCCGGACAAAGAGTCAAGGTGGGGAGCCAACATACAACGTTGCCGTCGGCAGAGCTGGTAGAGTCTTGGTCTTTGTAATGGGAAAAGAAGGGGTCCATGGAGGCGGATTGAATAAGAAGGCATACTCAATGGCAAAATACTTGAGAGACTCTGGGTTCTAGCTGCTAGGCAGACTGTTAAGTATTAGGGAAAAATTGCTCTTAAACTTTCCTAGCTGTAAGCTTGAGTCTTAATTCTGGAAATTTTATTAGCAATGCAGGGTGATGGGGTATGAACCTGTGTCTCCTTTGTATCCCTCTGTTGGTGGGGAAAGGTGTCTTTCTTTCTGCCCTCCCCCCCCTTAAATAATTCTGTTCACTTTTGTTTTGTTTCCTTGTGTACTCCAGCATTGGTTATAGTCATGGGAAAGGAAGGTGTCCACGGAGGCACACTTAACAAGAAAGCTTATGAACTCGCTTTATACCTGAGGAGGTCTGATGTGTAAGCAGCCTCTCCCCATCTACCTAGCAACTGTCTTCATCACCACCCCAATTATGGTCACAGTGCTACCAGACTATAGATGGTAGCTAATTTTTCTTTACCTATTTTCTAATGTCACGATTCCTTTTTGCCCAATGGATCATTTGTATGTTAACCACTGTATGTAACCAACCTTATCTGGCAACATAATTGCAGCACAGTAATGATTTGCATGATACCTTGAAATTTGGGGGGAGGGGGCATGCCAAGTTGGGCATCACTTTGTCTTAGCAATTAATGGGATATTGATTACTAAAATAAGTTAATATTAAGCAAGGTGCCGGTTGTACAATCTCTACTTCGTACATAGGTATTTGGTTTGCTTCCATCTTCTTTTATGCAGTGCCTGGTTTATTTAACCAATTAATATTCCTTTTGTTGATGAGCTATTGAGAGCTGCAGTAGTTTGCTTTTAGTATTGCTGTTGCACTTGAGTAAAGACAAATCTTTTTTCATAGTGTCTACAGGACATAATGACAAGTGCAACTGCAAAACAAGAGCAAAGGCACTTCCTCCCATGACCTTACAGTAACCATACTGATTGAATCCCCAGGGACATTCCATCATTGCAATAGCTCACATTTTTGTTCCTGTGTTTTTCTTTGCACACCAGCTCTACTCTTTAGTAAAATTGTAAAAGGCTGCCATTATGGACATTTGGTATCCCAACATAACCATCTGGAGTGTGTCCAGTTTGTTCTTCATAGGACCAATTTTTATTTGCAGCTTGAGTTTTTATATGAAGTTGCATTATTGTGGACTTGGCTGTCTTGTGATGAATTTTTTTTCATATGTATTCTGTGCCATACTATTGTTAAAATGAACTGTTGCTATTGTGAGATGGATTTTAAATGACCTCTTAAAGGTTTCTTTCGAATGGCACTACTTTAGGGACATTCTAGTATTTGCTTCTGTTGTTTGGGCCTTGTGGATAATGTACAGATTTAAAAACAAATCTTGTTGCTGATTTGTCCATTTCTTTCCCTGCACTTTGTTACATCTGGGATACAGTCTAACTCATCTGATTTAATATGCATTTAAAAAAATGCCATGAAAGGGGTCCAGGATTAGAAATGTGCATGGAACACAGGGGCAACCAGTCTTGTTTGGAGGAGCATGTCAGAAGATGCCTCACGTGATTTCTTCAGGAAGATAAAATCGACTGAGTACTTGATACATATAGAGCAGAGGAGACACTTGCCAATGAGATTGGGGTGGAATTAGTGAGAAGTACATTAAAAAACAAGCCAAAAAATAGCAGCAGCAGAAAACAGCAACAAAACAATAAATATCAGGAAATAAAAGTTGTGTAGGAAAGAAAATATAGCATAATTTACTACATTGTTTTATCATAAATTGTATTAGCATACTTATGCTAATATAAACACAGAATATTTATCTATTCAAAATTAAAATTATATTGAGGAATAGGAGTAAAAAGGGTACTATTAGGAGGTTAGGGTAAAGAAAGCAAAGAGAGTTAAAACCTTTCTGTTTTTCCCAAAACAGAAGTCAATAAGTGCAGCCTAAAACTAAAACACCATGAAATGACAAATCAAGTATGTTATTTAGAGATATGGAGATAAATACCAAAATAATTACTAAATTTGGTGAAAGGGAGACATCTATGTGTTTGGGGTGGGGGATTCTTTTTTTTTTTTTTACTTGTGAAATTCTTAAGTTATTTGACCCTTAAGCTATATGTATGTATAATTGTGACAAAAATCATAATTTAACAAAGAACAGAAAAGAAGCTCTGCAATATCCATGCTGCTCATTTGCTTGGTTCTTGACATAACCTGTTCTTTCTTGTAAGAGAAAACTGTAAATTTTCCTTCCTCATTCTTAACTACTTCAAAGGAGTGATTGAATTTTAAGAACATAAAGCATGATGCTCTCTATAGCAGGAATTTAAAATTCATTTCTAAATAGTTTTATATATTTTTTTTCCCATAAACATATATATATATATATGTTTATGGGAAAATTTCAGGTGACAGATGTTAATAATCCAACAAGCTATAGGAAAAAAGAGTACCAAGGCTTTGATGCCCCAAGAGTTGCTGAAGGTCACAAACCAACTATGTAAATATCTAGTAGTAATAATACTTTAATAACAGAACTTCACTTTTTTAAATCTTTTATTCTCGGAGTTGGGGGAGGAGGGAAACATATGGTAGGAGAAGATAATGAGAGAAGAAATAAGAGTGCCGACTTAAAAATCCACTAGGAACCCAAAGAAGACACGTAATAACTTCACTATTTATCATCACTGATTATTTCTTATGAAACATGTGTGCTACAAATAAAAGTTTTCTTTGAATTCAGAAACATTTGTTTAGCCTGAAATCAATCAAGCTGCAAAGATTCCTCATCTATGGCAGCCAGAAGTATATGTCACAAAACAGTCCCTTTATGCCAAGGGATGGTAATAAGTTTAGACAAAAGAAAGTCAAAGGTGACTTCCAGAATTTTTACAGCAAATTCACTGAGTGCTATGGTCTAAGTGTTTGTTTTCCCTCCCTCCACAAATTCACATGTTGAAATCCTAACATCCAAAATAATGGTGTTAGGAGGTGGGGCCTTTGGGAGGTGATTAGATCATGGGGTGGAGCCCTCATGAATGGGATTAATGCCCTTACAGAAGAGATACCACAGAGCCCCTAGCCCCTTCCACCATGTGAGGGTACAATAAGAAGGTGGCTACCTAGAAGAGGGCCTTCTCCCGACCGTGCTGGCACCTTGATCTTGGACTTCCAGCCTCTAGAACTGTGAGAAATAAATTTCTGTTGTTTATAAGCCATCTAGTCCATGATATTTTGTTATAGCAACCTGAACAGACTAAGTCACTGGGATTCTGTGTCAGTGGGGATCTTGTTCAGTGCACTGAAAAATAATTAAGGGCAGGTGGGACTCTGGCCTTATATTAAAAAGTCAGTATGGGTATCAAGAATATTAAGAACTTGATCACAACACATTGATATATGTACTAAAAAAGAAAAGGTCACTGTTCTCTCTCATTTATAATCTGAAACACAGATACATGAGTGAGAGAGTAAACACTGAATGACACATTATTGATAGTGTCATATTTATCTGACACTATTTATCTGACACTATTGTATGTGATCAGAATATGACATTTTAGGGGATAAAAAAAGCACTGAAAACATTGCTATACATATCTTTTGACCCAACAAGCTCACTACTAGGAATCTTTCTCCCAAAATTCCACATATGTACAAAAATATATGCATAAGAATGTACACTGCAGAATTATATATAAGAGAAAAAAAACATCTAAAATGTTCATTAATTTTAGAATTTCCGAGTGATACATCTGAATTATAGAATATTAAAAATCCATTTGACTGTATATATACACTCATACACAGCCTTGAACATATATATGGTAATATATCCTAAATAGTTTTAGATCAAAAAAATTTTTAAATAGTTTACTGTGATCTCATTTATATTTTAAAAATATCTGCATGTATGTACAATATGAATTTCAATGCCTAGAATAGGCCCTAGAAGAATACACACTGCTTGTTGGTAGGGATTACCTGATTACCTCTGGGAAGGTTATATGGAAAGGATGAGGGTTTAGAGAAGCCATATGTAGTAGTGGGATTAAGGGTATGGACTTTGGTGCCAGACCTCTTAAAGTCTGAATCCTGGCCACTTACCGTATGTCTTCTCTAGATCCTTCGGTTTCCTCCTTTTTAAAGTGTATGGGTGCATGTGAGTATTGCTTAGAACAGACGTGGCACGTGATTAATTAGCCAGCATGAAGCAAACGTTCATTGGTATTATTAAGGGAGAATTTTAGTTTTCATTGTGTAACTGCTGTTTTATTTAACTCTTGTACAATAGATCAATGTACTATTTTATAATCTAAAATAAAGAGCAAATCGAGACATTTTGGTGTAATTGTTCTAATAATGATGAAATTGTACAAAAATGTCTGGACATTGTGTTCCAAGACCGTCTGCCCATTCACTGCTAAATGAACTCAAGTACTCAAAGTAAATAATTACCCCTCTACTATCTCAAGGGCAGGAAATTATTGCTCTTCCCCCTTAATGAGTCCTATAGTGCTGTGTACACAGTGGGTGTGCACTAAATATTTCCTGATAATGATAATGGTGAGGATGATGACAGCTGTTACATACTATAAAGCTTAATTTAAAAGCCATCAAGAAAATGTAACACAGAATACGGCCCTTCTGAATTTTGTCTGCATGGGAAAGAAATTCTGTTAGATTACTAATAAAGTAATTCAGGGCACATTGTACTATTGTTTGCTTTGGTACCATCTGAGTTTTTGCTCATTAGTATGATCTAATTATTATTTCAGATGATTCAGAGGGCATGACAAGGTCCATTTCTATTATTTCAGTATTAAAAGTTGGTCTCCTATAAGCATTTTCTAAATTAAATGCACAAAAGATGTTATCAACTAAATTATATTTAATCCCTGAAGCAAGACTTTGCAGCAGTGTGACTATTTTCTATTTCCTTAAATTGCAACACTACTCTGTTTCTGCAGTGACATACTCTTTTTCTGTGTGTTTAAGCAGTCCATGCATGAAGAGAATGACTTTATTGGAAACATGATGATGCCTCTCTATTCTAA